AACTTGGAGGCACGGCACAGACCATGCCCCCACCCAGCCGTATATGTGGCACGAACAATGCAGCAGCAGACGCATGCACGAGGTGGCTTCCAGTGGCAGCTTGGACCAGCTCTATCGATTGAATTTATTTGCATTTGCAACGGGGCAGAGGCAGCAGGAGCTGGAGGAGGCCTCGACTCAGCAGCAACGGCCGGCCGCCTCCTGGTCAACAATTCTTTCGATTTTCATTTCCCGTGTCCTCTCCAGGCACCAGAGGCAGGCAGGCAGGCAGGCAGGCAGTGAGGCAGTGAGGCATCAGCAGTGGCAGTGGCAACGGCGGCAACAACAAACATGGCGCAAAAATCATTAGAAACTCTTTTGTTAGCCCTGGTCCGGCCATGGGCTGGGGCGCACGTATTCCATCCTCCAGAGGCAGGAAATAAAACTGCAGAGAAAACTCCTTTCTTTTTGGTCGAAGCAGGAGGAGGACACATAACCGACGCCGCCGCTAGCTTCAGCTTCAGTTCCATCTACCAAACACCCACCCGTGCAGCCTTCCCACCCACCCATCCATCCGCCGGTTGCCGCAACGACAACGCTGATGGGCGACGACGTCGCGTATGCGCAATTTTCCAACAAGAAAAGTTGCTGCCTGCCGCCTGCCGCCAGGGGGGACCCAATTGACCGAGGAGGCTCGTGGCGAGAGAGTGAGAGCGGGAGAGCGGGAGAGCGCCATCAAGGACCTCGAGGGCCAGTCGCTGCCACTGCCACTGATGTGGCTACTTCTATTGTTGCCTACACACAGTCCGACTCCACTGGCCAGTCTCTCCTTCTCTGGTCGCTGGCTGCAGCATTGATCCTTGCTTTAAGCTGAATTTCCTCCTCGATACGTGGGAATACTTAGCAGTTTTAGCAGCTCTCAGGATCTTCAAGGATCTCCTAGATCTTCCAGCAGCTGTTTCTAGCTCAAAGTTTTGTCAGTTGCCAATTCAAGCACCTGGCTAATGCCCCAAGTCTTCCATCTATCCTTGAGCTCTCTCCTATTTCCATCAAAGTCTCTTCAAGACTCCCTTCTCCGCTCCTGCTTTTGCTTTTCCCTTTTGCCAACAAAGCGGAGTCCGCCTTCGAGAGGCCTTCGAGTGGCCTTTGAGAGACGCTTGGCACAAAACTGGTAACAGCTTGAGAGGTTTGTTGTCCACTTCGACAAGGGCTGGACGAAGGCGATGGCCATATGCCGCTATCCTTTTGCCGCCCCATTCCCATTCCCATATCCTGCCTGCATCCTTTGATGACATTGGCTTTCAGTAGGTCTCTGCTTTGACTAAGTTTTTCTCTTAAATTGTCTTCGCTTTGCTTTTTCTTTTAAATGCTTTTCACTGTGCGAACGGGAGTGTCGATTGGGCATTGAAGTTTGTCCGTTTTTCGTGGCAATCAAATAATCGGAAGAATGAATGAATGATGGATGGATATTTTACATTTTATTCAAGGTATTTATTACAGTTTTAAGCGAGCAAAGAACACACTCACAACCCATTAAAAGATCCCATCTTTTATTATTCCCTCTTATAATCATGAAAAATGCTTGCCAAGGCTGAAGGCACAAAAAAGCACCTTAAAGAATATATTTTGAGCAACTGGAGAGTTTCTTCTTTAACAAATTGCATTGCATATTTAATTGGCAATCCAAAACACACTCTCTGCAATTGATTTTTCCACAGAATTGCGCTATTTTCTTCATCTATCAATTTGATTTCTTCCCCAGATCCTCTTTGAATATTTTCTCCCTCCAAGAGCCCATACATATTCCTTGAAGTAAAGCCCCTCAAAGAGTATTCCCAATATCAGTGGGAAGTTGGAACTTGGAACTTGCTTGTCTGTCAGTGGCTTTCGTCATTTCCTGTCGCCATTTCGTCTTCTCCGTCTCTCTGATATTTTTTGTTGCTTTGCTGCAGGTGTAAGTGGAAGTGCAAGTGTTGGTGTGTGTAAGTGTAAGTGCAAGTGTTGATGTATTGCTGTGTGTGTTGTGTTTTTTTTTTGCATGGCAATTTCGAACTCTTTTCGCTCTTTTGCCGGCGGATGTCCTTTAACGTGGTTGCCAGACCACTGCCCACACGCTTTTGCTTTCTTCACTTGACGCTTTTCTCCCCTCCCTGTCGCTCCTTTGCCAGTAATTTTCACTTTGAAATTTCCTAGTCGCCGCTGACGGAACGGAAGAGCGCTAGTTTCCTCTCCCACTGAAGCCAGCAGGTGGGGGACAGGGCACCGGTTAGTTAACCCGTTTTTTTCTCCTTTTTTTTCAGCTGCCATCTTTGGACTTGTCAAAAGCGGAAAGGGCCTTCATTTCCGCCACGAAAGCGTGGAAATCAGCGAACGTAGCGCGGGTCCACGTCCAGGTCCTAGTCCAACTGTTTCGTCAACCGAATGCAGCGGCAAAAGGGACAAGGGGAAGGGACGAAGAGAAATATCTATATGAAGCATCCTTTAAGGATGATCTTTCACAGAAATCATTGGGAAAGACTTTTGCGGAGACTCTTCTGCATCACATTTAGCCATTTTGAGGGTGAAAGTTGAAGAGAAATATTCGTGGCAGAGATTTCAGAGCTAATTTAGAAATAACTTGATCTTAGGACACTTCACACTTGAGTGATGGATGGAAACATGATCTTTAGATCTTCTGCAACTTGAATTTATAAGTATTATTAAGAAAACCCCAGAGGTATTTTCCATCTTTAATCCATAAAACATTGCAGCATACTTTTCGGTGTCACAGCGAGTCCTTTATGCCTTTACTTACTGCATATTTGTGTGCTTAAGCAACAACCTTCACCTGAAGATCCAATCTTGCAAGGCGGAAACCCTATTTTTCAATTAATAATTCAAATTCGCATTTGACAGCCCAACAAAAAAATGGCTTCTGATGTGGCAACATCTCAATGCTTCCTTTCTTTGTCTTCTTGTCTTTTGCCTCCATTTTCTTTTTCTCGAAGATATAGGGACAGCAGCAGGCAGTCACCTCGGTGCCTCGTTGCCACACGAAGCCAGCCGAAGTCTGCGCGTGGAGTAGCCTTAAAATATTTGATACGTATCCAAACGCTTTTTCCCCCTCGATGCACACACACACACGCACACGCACACGAATCTGATATATATTTCAGATATATATAACTGTATATTTTATATATATATTTTATATGTCAGCGACGGGCCGTCAGGGGCCAATCGGCGTCGAGCACGAAGCTGGGGCGAAGGCGCACGAAAGCGTACGAGAAAAAAGGTCACACAAAAAAAGAGAGAGAAGAGCGCCGCAAAATGGAATAAAATATGCAAAATATACTACAACAAAATCGCACACACACACACACACACACACACACACACTACAGCCAGTTGCGTGTGCACACAGGGGAGAATAAATATGTTTTTAGTTGTTGTTATTGGTTGCACGCACACAGAGGCACATGTGGCACTTGCAACAACAACAATGGATATGCGTGCAACACGCACACACACACAGCCAGAGACATATCCCAGCCAGAGGCCTACAACAATGGAGGAGCCCGGCCGTCGAGCATTAAAAATGCGTTCATAGGCGCCGCCTACCGCATGACGTCATCAAGCCGGAACAACAACAAGCAGCAGCAGCAGCAGCAGCATTGCACTTCCTTCCTCTTTTCTGCAGCAGCACCTTTCCTACCCCCACTCCTCACTTCTCACTAGTCCACTGTTGTTGCAATTTCTTTCTTTCGCATTAATTTTGCTCTTTTCGGGGCAGTAGCAGCAGCAACAGCAGCACCTCCTCCAAAGAGCAAGAGGCAGGCGGCAACAACAGCAAAAGGCAAAAGGCAAAAGGCAAGAAGAAAGAAGAGAGAATGAGAGTGAGAGAGAGAGAGAGACACCGAGTGGAAGAGCGAGAGAGCGCGAGCAAAGCTTCGGCTCTCCATTCGTTTCGTTCGCTTCGTTCGTTTCGTTTCGTTCGCTTCGTCTTTTTGCATTTTTTTGTTGCTTTCATTACGTGGAGGGGGCAGCTGCCTTCGGACCCTCACCACACCTCCCTTCCCGCTGACCCAAACACTGTGGAGGGAGCACTAAGCTTGCGCACTCGCTCACACCCATGGCATTGGACGCTTCATGGCCAACATTTTGGAGGCGTGGCCAAGTCATGCCGTCTCGCGCTTTCAGTAGTTTTTCTCTTTCTGCTCTTTTTGCATGCCATAGTTTTGGGTCTAAGCAACAACAGCCCCACACTGGAGGATGAATGGCTGTAGAAGATGCCGGATGCCCGATGCCCGATGCCCGATGCCAGATGCCAGAGGGGTTGGTTGGCAGGCGGCTGAGGCACTTCTTACTGGACATTGGCCAGGCATCTTCTCTTTCTTTCGGCCTAGCAGCTGGCCCCCTCCGCTGCCACAAGTTGCAAGTGCAGCAGCAGGTGCCCCTCTATGCGTTGCGTAGGCATAGTTTTTCTTTGCCCCAAAGGGGGAGAAGCCTTCGATTGGGAGCTGGGAATTGGTTGTGGCATAAATTGCTTGTGCGCTAAGCTTCGATTGGGAAGTGGCAGGAACGTGTGATTTAAACCATTTTCGGGCAACAAAAGTTGAGGCAAACGCAGAGCCAAGCCAATCGATGGATGATTGTTGAGAGTCTCCTAAAAGACAAAATGCAAGAAATGCTCATTGGGGATCTCCACCTTTCGATATTCCTTAACTTTATTCCCTCAAGCATTCGTCGATCATTAAATGCCAAGCACAACAACCAAAGAGAAATAAGTTCCTTCTCTTTAACAATTCCTTTCTCTTTTGTAAAGCAAAAACGAATTCGCCGCAAAAACCGGAAAGCAACGTGGGAAACGACGCCGGCGCTCTCTCTTCTCTTACGCTCGCTCGCCTGCTCTCTCTCTTGTGCGGCGCTCGTGCGTTCCGTTGTGGTGGTGCTGGCGTCGCTGCCCACGCCGACTGCGACGCCACTGTGGCAGCAGCAGTCTGTCTCGAGTTTCATTCATTGCACGAGGCGGCCGACACAACGCGAGTTCATTCGAATTTCAACTTTCGCCGTGAGTGCAACGTTTTCTGAGGCGCAACACGAGGCAGCGCAAGCAGCAACAAAAACAACAATAACAAGAACAAAAGAGAGGAAGAGAACGAAACACAGTGCAACAGTGACTGAAGTGACAGAAGTGGCAACAAATAAGTTGCAGGCAGCATGTGTTGCATGCAGCAGTGATCGGGATCATACAATATCAAATACAAAGAAATTATTCCACAACGAAAATATTCCACGAAACAAAACGGAACTCCAGGCGATCCAGATCCAGATCCAGATCCAGCAAGCAACCAACCCAACCAGAGGCGCCTCCAAAGTGTACGTGCAACTTCAGTGTGTTTTTGTGATAATTATAATTATAATAATGATAGTGGATGGTGGATGGTGGATAGAGACACAGATCTAGAGTGGGTGCACTTAATGGTCGGTGGTGCTGCATGAAAATCGATTTTCCTTTCTTACATTATCACAAGTGGCGTCGCACAATTTTCCGCGCACTTTCCGCTTCTCCCCAAAGAAATTGTAATTTATTAATTTATAACACAAAATCCCCCCCGACCCGCACTCCCTGCCACACACCACGCTCCACACAATTTCCACCCAACCCAAAAGGTCGTAAAAAGTGTTGTTGCTGTTGCTGCTGTTGCTGCCTCCTCCATCTTATGGCCCAAAGTTGGGAGCTCAGGAATTAAGAAAACTTACGCGAAGGAGAAGCAACTTTTCCGAGCAGCAGCAGCAGCAGCAGCAGCAGCAGCAGCAGCAGCAGTGGCAGAGAACTTCGTCCGAGTGGGTGGCATGGTGGCACGCGCCAAAAACAGTTTTGTAAACAGTTTTCCACGTACCACAAGAGTTCGGAGCAGAGTGGAGACCGTGGCACAGACACGGAACACAATTGTTGTGTGTGGCAGCAACAACAACAAAACGAACGGAGAGGAGAGAAGAGGCAGCAGCAGCAGCAGCAGCAGCAGCAGCTGGTGGCAAAGTGGCAGCCGCTTGTGTAATTTATTACAGACTGCATAAATAATAAATAAGCGTTAATAAATAAATACAATATAAAATATATATAAAAGTGCCTCCTCCTCCTCCACCGTTTTGAGAGTTGTCTGCCCCACCCCCTGTGTGTGTGTCTGTGTGTCTGTGTGTGTGTGCTTTACAAACTTCCAAGTACCCCCTCCAACATCCTTCAGTTGAGGACCCAAGCGAATATAATTTAAATAAATAAATACAAAAAAAAAAATAAAATATAATAATAATAAATAATTGAAAAGCTCAGAGGAAATGTTGCTCGCTCTCTCTCGCTGTTCCGCCATGTTTCCCCACTTCCCCTAGACATAAATAATTTAACCAAAAAACATATGAAAAATAAAGAGGAGAGACTTGAGATACATGAGAGGAAGCGCCCAAGAAATTGGCAAATAAAAATAAAATAAAACAAAACAAAAAAATTGATTCGAAAAAGAAATTCCTGCAAATTGCCACAACTTTTGCTTAGTTTCCGTAGAAACATTAAACTATTTTGTTGTTGTTGTCAAAGTTGTTTTTTTTTCCATGAAATTCGTGACTCAAGTTTTTTTCGCAGACTTTCTGCATTTAAGCAATTTATTTATTTATTTATTTTTGCTATTTATTTATTTTGGGCGCAAAGAATCATCAAATTTAATGCGTGCAGTGGAATGTGGCAGCGTGGCAGAGACACATGAATAAATGGGGGTTGCGGGGTGGGCAGTGCCCCATAACAATAAACCAAAAGTTGCCAAAAAGGCGAAAAGGAAGAAGCGACAGACAGGAAGAGCATTTTCTTATGGCAAGTGGCAGGAGCAGCGACTCCCTTGAGTCGCGAGTCTCAGTCTCTGGTGCTGCTTCTGGCTCTTCAGCAAACAATAAAATAAACAAAATCAAGCATGAAAATTCGAGATTTAAGGAACGAAGTTGAGTTACTCTAGGAAAGAGATCGTTGATCGTTGATCGTTGGGGAGATTTGTGGAAGGGTCCAAAAATTAAGCAATTAAGCAGTTGCCGATAAATTTTCGTTATTTCAGCTACAGTCTAAAGATCTATTCAATGCCTATTTATGTTATTTAGTTAATATTTACTCCGACTCATAATTATTGTCAATGTGCAAAGATTTATCCACACATCATTGAGATTTGCCACATTTTGCCTCTGCATTTTCGCTTCCCTTTCACTCGGTCTCAAACATCTGCTCAAATTCGCTATACCCTCTCTCCCCCTGTCTGTGTTCTGTCTTGCTCTGACAACAAATAAAAGGGTATACAAATAACAGTCGACGACAGCGACTCGACGACTCCAAGTGGCATAGCATTTCGTAGCCGTTGAGCGTCCCGTCAGCCGCAAGATTTAATTGGAATGAAATAATAATAAACATAAAAGTAGCAACGGAACGGAATGGAATAAGAATACGAAGAGGAAGAGGAAGAAGCCGAAGCAGAAGCAGAATTATAATAACAATAATAATAAATATAATTAAATTTGATGGCAGCAGAAGCGGCAGCAAAGCAAAAGCAAAAGCAAAAGCAACTTTTCCACCCCGAAAGGCAGCAAAACAAATGCCCTCCCCCCGCCCCGACAGACACACACACACATACACACACCCCACCCCTTAGATATATGCACACACAATCGAATAAATTAAAATTATACAACAAAAAATACATATTTAAATAAATATAATTACTTGCGGAGCGGCTACCGCTCTGCTCCCTCTCTCTCTCTCTCGTCACTGCCATAAATAATAATATTTAATTAAATATAAATCCATGTGCGCATGGAAGTACATACCGCTCGGTTGCTGCTGCTGCTGCTGCTGCCACTGAGAGTACAAATAGATACAGCAGATACAACAATCGGTTGCTACGAGTGGCAGTGGCAGCGGCAGGAGGAGGCTGCCTGTTCCAGGCGTAATATAAATTAAGCCGAAATTAAACATAAATAAATGTGTGCTTAGCTTTTAGCTAATAAAGCACATTTCGGGGGGTAGGCAAAATTCCAAACATAAATTAATAGAAATTCATGGAAATATTCCACACAGCTGGCAGTGGGGTGTGGGCAGTGCTGGGCGATAGGCGATGGGCGATAGACGATGGGCGATGGGCAGGGGGGCAAGATTAATTGGCTTATTTAATAGAATTATGACTCAGAGATACAGCTAAAGTTACAGCAACAGCTATAAGTTTTCCGTTGCCCCTTCCTCAATGTTAATTCCATTAGATAAACAATAAGAAAATACAATTCCACTCGAGAGATACAACATTTAATGACATTTTCGACCAACTTTTGCAGGGCTGCAGCAACCCAAAGATGTTTTGAGCAGCACCCCAACAGGAGATCCAAGTACAGTGAATCCTCTCTCTGCTAGAAACACACACACCCAAACACACACATAATACATAATGGACATGACCAAACAGTTGATGGACTTTGAAATAAAGTCGGAGAGCGAGTTCGAGGCGAGCGACTACAGCCGCATGGCCACAGAGGAGCCCAAAGGGTCGCCAGAGCCGCAACAGAATGATGTGGAAACCATTCCCGAAATGGACACCAAACCCTCTGCCAACGAGCAGGAGGAACACAGCGCAGAGGCTGCCACAGAAACAGTCCCTGCCACAGACAGAGACAAGGCAACGCCACCCACAGTCCAAGATGTGGTCGCGGAAGATGTCGCGGAACCAAAGCAAAATCTGATCAAAGATCCACCACTGACACCGCCCCCAAGGCCCATGACCTCCAGCGAAGTGGTGGGCCTGCGGGATCCCGACGATCCCGAGCTGCATCTCCAATTGGAGGCCAAGAAGTCCCGCTCCCTGCCCGTGTCGCCACAGCCGCAGGCCAGCCACAAGCTGGCAGCAGCCGCACTCTTCGAGTTCGGACAGACATCGCCGACTACCCCTGGAAAACCCATCAAAATGGACCAAAAGGTGACACCCGCGAGGCGGCGGCTGCCGCCCGTGGTCAGTGGTGGCAGTGGCGGGGGAGCCACGGACAACCAGCAGTTCTGCCTGAGGTGGAACAACTATCAGTCCAACCTCACGAACGTCTTCGATGAGCTGCTGCAGAGCGAGTCCTTCGTGGATGTGACCCTCTCCTGCGAAGGCCAGTCCATCAAGGCACACAAAATGGTGCTGTCCGCCTGCTCGCCGTACTTCCAGGCTCTGTTCTACGACAATCCCTGCCAGCACCCGATCATCATCATGCGCGATGTCCACTGGTCGGATCTCAAGGCCCTCGTGGAGTTCATGTACAAGGGGGAGATCAATGTGTGCCAGGATCAGATCAATCCCCTGCTAAAGGTCGCCGAAACCCTCAAGATTCGCGGCCTGGCCGAGGTGAGTGCCGGTGCGAGTCGCGACGGCGCCTCCGCGCATCCCATGATCCCCGACCAGCGCATGTCCGTCTACGGGGAGGACGAGGAGGAGGATGAGGAACTGGCGGCCGCCATTCTGCGGCAGGACGATGATCCGGAGCCCAAGCGTGCCCGCCTGCTGCCGGACACCGCCATGGACCTCAATCAGCGGCAGCGGAAACGTTCGCGGGATGGCAACTATGCCACGCCCAGTCCGCTGCATGGCGACAGCCTCCGCCCCGACGTGGAGTGCGAGTCCTCGCCCCGCACGGCAGTCACGCCCAGTGGCCAGAGCCAGCCCACATCGACGATCGTGCGGAACCCGTTCGCCTCCCCAAACCCACAGTCGCTGCAGGCGCACCTCCTCGCGGGCACAGGACACTCCTCCTCCTCCGCCTCGAGCAGCAGCTCCGGCGGCACAGCCAGCACGGGAGGCACAGCCGCGGTGGGCAACTCCTCATCGTCGGCTTCGTCCTCGTCGGCGGGCACATACCGCACGGCGGCACGCAGCTGCTCGCCGCCACCGCACCACCAGCAGCACCATCCTTCGGGCAGCTCCAACGGCAGCTCCTCGGCAGGCGCCCAGCTGCACTCGCCCACCGGCGGTGGATCGTCGAGCGGTGCCCAGTCCTCGCTGCCACCACACATGGCCGCAGCAGTGGCTGCAGCAGCACATCATGCCGCTGCCGCTGTGCCCCAACAGCCACAGCCACCCGCCGCCATGCATCATCATGCAGCGGCAGCAGCCGCCCAACAGCTGGCGGCCCAGCACCAATTGGCCCACTCGCACGCCATGGCCAGCGCTCTGGCAGCCGCGGCAGCGGGCGGCAATGGCGGCGGCGCAGCCTCGGCACCCGCCAGCGGAGCCGTGGGAGGTGGAGCCGTACCCTCGGCCTCATCGGTGGGATCATCGCATCACGATGACATGGAAATCAAGCCGGAAATTGCCGAAATGATACGCGAAGAAGAGAGGGTAAGTGCAGCGATTGATCTTCAAAGATAGTTCTTAAGTGTTGGAAAGATACTTTAGCTAGGTTCGAGTTCCAAGTGTGCCCATTCCTTCGGTTGGTTTCTGCTTGACCCCAAGGGGCATGTGCCACAGCAGAAGAATAAAAACGCTTTTTACATAATGTCCAGTGGAAGGAACGACAGACAGGCGGACAGACGGACAGTGCAACGGGTGCATGCATATTAACGAAATGCATTTTAGCATTTACCTCCACAACAAACGAATCGGCGACGACTTAAGCGACTTACAGAGGGAAAGAGACTGGGGAGGGAGAAGTCTTTACCTCGAAATGCGAATTGCGAATTGCGAATTTGCGAGAGTCTTGTTATTTCTATTAGATTGCAAATTAAAGCTGATTTTCTATTTGTATAAGAAGCAGTTTACCAAAGAGGGGGGCAGGGGCAGGCCGGTTGCAGCTTAGACAGAGGTCGAGAGACATTAAGTGCGTCAGCGACTTGAAAAATAATTCAACAATTCAACAACATTTGATGCTAATGACGAAAATTGCACAATGCACGCGGGGCCAAAGGACAAACTACAGACGGCAGCCCGCAATGTGGGGCACACACCAAGAGCAGAGAAGAGAAGAGAGAGCGCTGTAACAATGAAGAATCAACAAAATTATAAACAATTGCCATAAAAAATTGATGGCTAAATGCAAACAAAAGTCACAAACAAATATTTGATTTGATGTGTTGTGTTGTTCCCTCTCGTGCATTTGATTTTGCAAATTATTCGTGGACTAATGTTCCTCAGTGCCTTTGTCTTTTAAGAGATTTCATCTGGCCAAGACAAGATGCATTCTTGGGCTTCTTTGCCTATATTACTGGAATCACACATATTACTCGAATAATTATGCATTCCACTCGAGCAGAGATGATGCCAAATGAGCAGAAGATCAGTCTTGCAGGGTTTAACAGAAGTTCAGAAGTTCCCCGAAGTTCCTCCCATTTCCTATGCATCCTTAGACCCATCATTAGCCCGCGCTTCTCATGAATATAAATATTAGATTGTAGATACATACAAATATCATATTGAAGTTAGTCTGTGGCAGGGAAAAACCCTTGGAAAAACGTTTTGTGTTTACGACTCGAGTGAGTCCTCACTCGTTGCTTATTTTCCTCCATCTTTTGCACACAGTTTACTGGCATTTGTGCTGCTGTTAATTTATTGAAATGAAATGAGAAATAAAATCAAGAAGAAATGTTCGCTCGGGTAATAAAAACAACACAAAGACTTGAAGAAGTTTTCGCACTGACAATGTGTGTCCCACACCCAAACATCTCTCTCAAACCCCAGAAAACATTCTGTGACTACGTCATTGAGGGAAACCCCCCCTTTTTGGTGTGTGCCAAAAAATTTATATAGACTCAAGTCAGACGCTGGCGATGACGATGGATGGTGCGTGTGGTGGGGTCTGGGAGAAGTAGCAGACTGAGAGCCTGTTACTTAATAGAGTGAGTGTCTTCTTGCTGCGAGAGAGAGCGAGCGAGCGAGTGCTCTCTGCTGTCGCCCCCCCCAACTTCCGGCCAAAGGAACTTTCATTCACAGAAAGTCACACAAAGAGAGGGACAGCAAGAGAGCCAAAACAGCCACACACAGACAAAGCGAGAGCGATTGCTAGAGAGAGTGCTAGCGAGAGAGAGAGAGAGAGAGTGAGGAGACACACACGCAGCATTGTGGCAACCCAGCATTCAGCAAAATGTAGCAAGAAAATGATGCTCCCCGGTCCATCTCCATTTGTGTCTTATTTTTCGAGAGAGAGAGAGAGAGTTCCTTGACTTTTCCTTGTATTTACTTTGTCCCCCCTGTGCACCGTCTCTTTTGTGCCTTTTGCCAATTGTTTTTGCGCAAAGAAAATTACTGGAAATTGCCCGAAGTGTGGAAAAACTTGTGCGACAGCCAAGGGCGCGTAGTCCGCTCATACTCGAAGCTCCAAGCTCCAAGCTGCCGCTCTTTGTCTGCCCAAAATATTAGTCATAATTGCTACATGTGTAGCCTGTGTCTATGTGTCTGTGTCTATGCTAAGCAGGTGGATTGAACTCTCTTTCGTAGAGAGGAAATGGGCATGAGATAGGGGTCTCTGGTCTGGTCTGCCGTCTTTCAGCGTGAGAATCTCCCAGACTAGAAATCCCGAAATGTCACCGCCGCCTGCTGCTGGTTTCCTGTGCGGTCTGGTCTTTTGGGGCTCATTAGAGGCTCATTTTGATTGATTCGAGAGTCTTGGAAATAAATCAAATTTATGTGCCGTTGGGTTTTACATACATAAACGCCACTAGGAGAGGGAGAGAGACCGGCCTCCAAACAAACAAAAAAAAAAAAGAGTAGAAAAGTGGCTCTTATCTGCCACACAGAAACACACATAAAACAAAGCCCGTGGTGTGCCCCTTTGGCCGTGGTTTTCCATTTTATAAAGATTAAAGGATTTCGTAAGGCAAAGTGCCGCAACTTTTTCCAATCGAATGGAATTGGAATTGGAATTGGAATGAGAATTATATATGAGAATTCTATAATTTACGAGCCAATTTCGATAATTTCTTTAGTTTTTTGTGGTGGCCAGAGCTATAAAATTGTTGCAGCAATTGTTGCCCAGTCTTGTTCTTGTTCTTAACATTTTATTATACGGAAATGTGTGGGAAAGAGGGGGAATGTGCCGGAGGTGTGGGTCGAGCACACACACTCGAAATAAATAAGTAATTTATTTTTTATGGCCAAAGCGATGCGAGGCGATGGACAAATGGGTCTTGCTGTGCCGTAAACCCACATAGATCTTATCGCTTGGAGCACCGCAAATATAATACAACAATATAATCATAATAACATTTATTTGTGCGCGTAATCTTAAGTCGCGTCGATTCCCAACACTCCCGATAAGAATCGCACACTCGGAGTATTTTCTAATTCCATTTCTATATCTTTTGCGGACTCGGATTTGGGTACTGAATGACGCATGAATATGCGCCGTGACAAGAGCATTTTTTTTTCTGTTAGTATGAGCCACAATTTGCACGTCCCCTCTTTAAGTCGATTTACAGGCCGACGGTGATTGTTTAATTAAAGAATTTTAACCAACAATAAACTAAGAACACACAAAAAACCGATTATCGTATGGGGGACAATAGAATGTTTATATGGCTCGTATATCTGGATCTGGCGAGGGGAATTTCAACACGGGGCATTGTCATGGTCACGGACAACGTGCCACACTCGTAATTATAAATGCAGTATAAATATTGTATTTGTTTTATATCGCTAATAATAATACGAATAATGCTCTTTGGTTTGATTGCCAAATGAAGGACCTTTGAAGTCTTTGATTTGCTATCGGCAAATTGGTTTATTTTTGCCGTTCTTTTGGATAGCTGAAAATGCTGGAAATATTATTCGGGTTGAACTTTGGGTCGTTCAATTTCATTTATGGCGTTTCTGAGATTAATTTATATTTCAGTTTATTGGCTGTCTGTCTGCCTTCAGTTCACTTTATTTCTTGCTGCAACGCGATTGTTGCCTTAGATCTTGCAGGTTGCTGGCTGATTCTCCCTTAGTACCTCGCTTAACTGTCTTCAAATGATATGTCAATGCTTTGGTATGTCTATTATTATTCCCTTAACATTTCTTGTACTTCTTTTACTACCACGAACTCTGTTTTTCTTTGATACATTTCCGTTCAATTTGTTTTCCTTCTGTTGGCTGATGTTTGTGTTAAGTTTTGTTATATTTTCATTTATTTGGGCTGCCTTTTGTTACATTTTATTTATTTATTCCGCATTTCCACACACACACACACACACACACACACACTCTCCAGTATGTATTTGTATCTGTCTGTCGTTAGTGCAGTCGCGGCGACTGTTGTCTTTATGACGACGACGACGACGACGACAACGACTGCAAACGATGATGATGATGATTATTATTGCCATAGACCGTTTCTGTTGCTGCCACTGCTGTTACTGTTGCCCCTCAGCAGCGGTGTGTTGTTCCATTGTACGACAGAGAGAGAGAGAGAGAAAGACACAAGAAAATTATAGGTATCTGCCCTTATGGCGCAGCGCAGCGGAGCGAAACAATAAAATATAAAATAAAATATGTACGAGTCTGTTTACGCAATTACAAACAGAGAGACTGGCAGGGGGGCAGCGGCAGAGACTGAGTTGTAGCTGAGACTCCAGAGATACAATATTTATAGCCAGCAGATACGACAGAGCAGCCACACAGAGATACAGCTACAGATACAGTTACAAAGGGAGAGCCGGCTACACGTCTTGCATCTGGCAGATACTTTTGCCAGCTGTAAGACAAAGTTACTGCCACAATTAGGGGCAACCACGCCGTGGTATGTAATGAAAACTCCAAAATAAGTGCAAATTATGATCCATTTGAAATAGTTTTTCCACGTGCAACTGCCACACACACACACAAATGGCATTATAATTTGTGCCATAATTCGGAAATGCTTGTGCAACAGTTTCCGAAAACCATACCCTCCCCCATCCATGCACCACATTATGTGGCACACACATTTGTGCCGCAGCAGGAGCCCTCATCTGTCTGTGGGCAAACAGCGCTCGAATATCCTGCGTAAAAAAGGACTCTCGCTCTCTGTGTGTAAATGCCTCTAATTTGGCAATCAGCATGGCAAAAAAATGTTCGCTACTCCTCCTGCACTTAGCGAGAGATCTCTACGGCGAAGGGTATAATGGTGCATGCCGCACTTGCCACCCATTCGCACTAGTGGCGGCAGCTCCACTTGAGGCACAGCAGCAGCAGCAGCAGCACGAGGAAAGTGGGAGCTGTGTGGAGTGGCGTGCCACAAGCTGCAGCTTCTTCCTTTATGCAAAGGCAATTTGCTGGAAAGGTTCGATTTGCGTGCGCTGCACTGAGCGAAAATGGTTGCGCATTTTGTTTTTGAAATATTTTGAAGGAAAACTCAAGAAATGTTAAAAATCTGATCAAAAAACCTT